CTAGTGGTAATGTATGGCAATTTATCTCAATGACTACTCTAAATAAACATTTTTTCTTTTAGCAAAAGAAAGTGAAGACAAAGAAAATCTCCCCAAAAGGACTTCCACAGGTGGCTTCAAATTTACATTTTCCCATTCTACCAGTGCAACTAATGGAGCAAATAGTACAAATAATAAATCTGTTGCAGCTCAGACATCACCAGCAAGTTCAAATGGTTCTTCTTCCAAGAATGCCAGTTTAACTACAGCAGTCACAGCCACAAAGGTGAGTTAAGCATGTGATATGGAGCTTTGCAGTTTAAAATTATGTTAGTGATATGATAAGAACAATTCCTATGAACATCCATATATAATACTTTAAGAATCCAGAATGGGGATTTGCTCAGAGTGCGTGAAGTGAAGCTGCATATCTTTGCCAGTAGTATTCTATTAAAATGTGATATTGACTTGCAGCCTGTACTGTTTTCAGCAAAGTCAGATTAAGTTTGACATTTGGTTGTGCCCTGAATTTATGAGCTTATGAGTTGAAATGATTTTCTCAGCATGTTCCCCTAGGCATTTGGGTAGTATGGGTAGGTGAGCTCTGCTAAATAAGGTTATCTTTTTAATGTAGGGTTGTGCTTATAAGCACAGGCATTATGTTTGGTTTGTTAAATTATTTTTAATCCTTCTACGCTGCCAATATCACTTTTGTGAGATAAGCGGCCTTATAAATGTTTAAATAAATACATACTGTTTTTTATTCTTAGTCATTTAGAAAGTCTGGCAAGTTTAGGCAAGCTGAAATACTTAAGATGTAATACATAGATAATGTTAATATTATCTGTGTCACTTAAAATGTATTATTTTGGGAGGTTAAATATTTAATAAACTCAAAATGTACTACATTTTGGCAATGGACCTAGGTATTTGCAAGACCGCCTCCTACCAAATACCTCCCTTCGACCAGTCTGCTCCCACAGAGAGGGCCTCCTTAGGGTGCTGTCGGCCAGTCAATGCCGGCTGGCGACCCCCAGGGGGAGAGCCTTCTCTGTGGCAGCTCCTGCCCTCTGGAATGACCTACCCCCCAACCTACATACAACTGCGGACCTGCGCCTTTTTCGCCGAGCCCTGAAAACCCATTTATTCCGTGCAGCCGGCCTGGCGTAGTCTTAATTAGGTTTTAGTACAGGTTTTTATATGGGGTATTTTAGAGCAGGCCTTTATTTATTTAATCTGATTTTAGAATAGATATTTATTGTGATTTTTATTATCGCCTGTTCACCGCCCTGAGTCCCGTAAGGGAGATAGGGCGGTATACAAATTTAAATAAACAAACATAAACATAAACATTGAAACCATGAAATGGCTACTTTGCCATATTAATATTCATAAGCATTAGGATTGTTTCTAATGCTGGATTTTGTATATGCAGGAGAGTTCATGTTCTTAGGTGCAACTGTTAACATTTACATTGTTTAAATTGTCCTAGTTTGCATATAGACAGCCTTAGACACGGTTACCAGAATTGCATATGAACATGTTGCCCTGCTGCGTGAGAGTAAGACCATCTATATGGTATTAGTTAGCCACAACAATCAAGATTTCAAAACCTCTTCTTAGTATTTTCCCCTAGTATTTTCTATCATGGCAATGTCATTTAAATATCATAGCTGCTAATCTCTGATCCCTTCTTGGGAAAGCTCTTCTAAAATCAATTCATTTGAGTGATAGTTGGCACAGAGCCATGGTAGTGCAGTGGTTAGAATGCAGTATTGCAGGCTGCCAGCTGTTCGAGTCTCACCAACTCATGGTTGACTCAGCCTTCCATCCTTGCGAGGTCAGTAAAATGAGGACCCAGATTGTTGGGGGCAATATGCTGACTCTGTAAAGCTGCTTAGAGAGGGCTGTAAAGCACTGTGAAGCGGTGTATAAGTCTAAATGCTACTGCTATTGCTATTTTGTGGAAAATAAAATTTATAAAATGGAAAATGTCAATTGCTACTTGTAAGGTCCTTCTCCATAGGTTCACGTGTGACTCTTTACATCCAACAGGGAAGTTTAGTTGGCCTTGTGGATTATCCAGATGATGAAGAGGAAGATGAAGAAGAAGAAACATCCCCAAGAAAAAGACCTCGTCTTGGCTCTTAAAAATGTTGAAACAAACTCTGATAGAGGGTGCTTAAATGCTATGACTGAACTAAAAGTCTGACTCAGAAAGCGTTCTCCCTGGAAAATACACGAGAATACAAGGAGTAGCAAAAGAAAATTTACTAGAAAGGTTATGTTCTGAGAACACAGGCTTCCAAAGAACCTAATCCCTTTCTAGTCAAGAAGTCTGCCATTCAGACTGTTAAAATGTTAAAACAGTGGATTAGTAATCAGCACCTGGAATGAAAGCTTGCCAGAAAAAATAGTCATCTTGGGTTCTGTGAGGGGATGGGGATGGGAGAAGAAATTTTGATATTGCAGGGTTTCCCCAGTTTGTAGCAAGCTAGAAGAAATTTGTAATGCTTCAGTTGCAAACCTAGTAATATAACTTCATAATGGTGCTGTCCATTGTGGGTTGTTTTTTTTTAGCAATTGCCTCTTTTAAATAATGAATTCTCTTTCCATTAAAAAAAAAAATCAGAATTGGGGACCACTGTTTGCACAGTCAGCCAAATTATAGAGGGTTGCACACTGCTGCATAGTGCATGTTGAGTGGCAAACTTTTTTTCTCAACTCCATTATTTTGGAAGGAAAAAAAAGAACCTGGGTTCTAAATGCAAGCAGACTAGAAGGAGCTATCCAGGAAAATCATTATATAGATCATCAGCTTTCCAGGAAGAAAAAACCCTCTAGAAACTATCAATAAACCTTGGTACTTGAAATGGCAATTGAATTGCAATTACTAGTAGCATTTTACAGAAATAATGTTGAATTGAATTGCTCCCTGCTAATTTCCAATTTTTTTTTCCTTCAGCCATCCACATTTCACATTAGGAAAAGCAGATGTTGTGAAATGCTACCAGAAACTCTTGAATCTTACTTCAACGATATATGTAATCTGGGGGCAGAGTTAATATGCAGCACTATAAACCTAAGGGGTTTAGCATAAAGCTGCTTCTTAACACATTCCATGTATTTAAGCAAATGTCTAAAAGTACACTAGGTGAATTGATGAAGGCAACCATTTTGAAACTTTTTTCCTTTCAGAGCAACTGAATTGTAAATATTTTAATGTTAGTTTGGCCATATATGATCTGAGATCATGCACACACAAAATTCTCTAAATTACAAATTGTGGTAAGAGTGATACAAATTGAAACCAGCAGGAATCCTCCGTTATTGGTCACTCTTACAATATGTCATGGGTCCATTTCTCCTGGAAATTTCATAGTTTTAATTTTAGCTATTGTTTGAAAAGATGGGCTGTCTGTAGATATGAAGTATAGTTTTTCCATGAAACAGAAGTTTATTTTGTATTGAGAAAAAAAAAACCACTGTACTTGTTTTACACCATTTGTATACATGTGGTAATACTAATGCTGACCTGTAAAATTCAGGAATTAAAATGTGACCCTGTAATTCCATGATTAATGGTTTTTTTATTGTTTTATTGTTGTAAATGGTAAATTAATTCAAATTTAGAGATGTGGCCATTTTAGTTTATTTTAATGATAGTATTTGTACTATTTTATCTGAATCAAATCTAGCAGAAAAAGCAATACTCTTAGATTTGATTCAGTGTGTTGTGATGACTGACAATGTGGTCTGAAGGACATATTTCTGCCCTTTAGGGGCTCCAGGCAATCAACAATGGGGCTTTCCTTTTCTCTTTTTCAATGAAGACTTTGAAGAACTTGTTACAGAAACAGTTTGCTTCAGCAGATTTTCTACATTGACTTGCCCTTCTTTGAGTACTCTTGACAAGTCTTTACCCTTCATAGAAGTAACTCTTTCCCATAAAACTGAATAGCAAACCATAGGAAAATAAAGGTGTGCCATTTCCTTGACAGTGATGTTTATCCAGCCTGGACCCAAACTATTTAATAAATCACTGAAAAAAGATCCAATACACATCTGGATCATTTTCTTTCATCCTATTTCAAAGACTATTAAAAACTTCAGAATATGCAGATTCATTTAAGCTGCTTCAATATATGAGAAAAAAGTTGATTTTTTTTTTACTTCAATATAAGCAATAGGTGACTTTTCAACCTATATCTGAACATTGATCAATGCTGTGAAAAATGCATTGAATATCTCCTGTTTAAATTACGCAGTCTGCCTCAGGTACATACTTCCACCTCAGTTCTAACTTTTAGTCTGGTTTCTTTTTGCCACAAGACAGCCCACATTTCAAATGCCTGGGGTCCTTCAACTGAGTTTTTTTTTAAAGATTACATCTGCCAACATGTCTGAGTTAAATACTATTTTAATAAAAAGTTATATGAAATGTGGATGACCTGTGTTTATACTGTGTTACAAGAATGAAAAGTTTTCTTACCACCAAGTAGAATTTTTAAATTACTCTGAATAATGAAATTAAGCAATACTGGAAAACTGTTTGGCATAATTATGATTACAATGAAGTTGAATGATATATCCATAAAAATTAATAATGTGTGGGCTCATTTAAAAGGTTTGGAAATATTAACAGCCTGATTAATCATGCTGTCATTTGCACAACGCATACTGGGTCTGATTCACACAATGACAACAGTTTAAATCCAGACTATAAATAAATTAGATGACCTTAAATCAATGGGAATTGAGTAACAATTATAATTCCTATGAAATTTTAAGATACCTTGAGTACCATTTTTATAAATAGCAGTAAATCCTATGAGATACTAAAAACCTTTTCCATCTGCTTATGGTAACAGACATAGTGGAATACGTGAGTGAGATCTCCCCAGTTTTCAATTAGTTTGTGAACTGATGTTGCCCATGTATGGATATATTTTTCACATCTCCTCTTCAGTTTGATGAGGCCATCTTAAGACAAAAATTAAGTTTAGCCAATTTAATGTTTTAATAAAAGTATTTGACAGCAACATTCAAAAAGTAATATTAAATGCAATAAAAATACAACAGTGACCAGCCTGACCCAGCATATATAGAAATAGCAAGAAACAAAATAGTGGAATCTATTAAAAATGTTAAATCATTGCTTTCCACTCTACTTTTGAACCAACTTAAAGAATTGGTGTTTTTATAATATATAAAATCAAGTTAATGCATGGAATGGTTGTAAGCAAACAGTTCATGGTTAAATATATAACCTTAGAAGCAACTTCTTTAAACTATCGCTTATTAATGACTTCTTCTTTTAGTTTTGCTGCAAGGATTCGTTTCTTTAACAATCTTTGTTCCTCCTCTTCTGACATTCCCTGAAAAGAAAAAAAATATTTACTTGCAGTAATTATGGCTAACTACACTTATGTTTAGTATTCCTATTGATTTCAATGAAGTTTCCACTCAAGATAAATTGGATTGTAGGCAAAAGACAAAACAATTTGTAGAACATGTAAATAAATGTTAGTTTCTATTTGTACACTAAAACAAAAAATCATCACTATTTTGTAAGTTATATTAAAGCAAGAAAAGCAATAGTTAAAATGCTACTTTGCACATTAGAAAGGCCAAACTGTAGCTCTATCAAGGACAGGAATATATGTGATTGTGATTTCAGTTCTTATTTGTATTTATGCCTAATTTTTAAAGCACTCTCTTATAATAGTGTTTTCTGATTTATCTGCTGTGAAAATATACCTGTAACGCATTGCCAATGATTTCATCAATAGGAGAGTAAAAATATTCAATGTCTTCTTCCCTCAGCTGGCCTAAAGAATGCTAGGAGGCTATCACTTTCAGATACTTTTTTCTTAATTTTAACAGATTAAAAAAATCACACTTGCATAAGATAGCTCTATGCCATTGTGGGCAGAGTCAAAGAAGCCTTAGGCTTATCCCTATTTAGTCAAAAGCAGGGATGTCATGTAAAATGAACAAAAGAAAAGTGTAAGGCAGCCCAATTTTTTTCTAGTGTCAGTCGACTTAATGGTATTTGGGCAGCTTTTTGAAAGGGTTAACATTGTCAAGCACAACACAGCTGAATGAATGGAATTAGTTTTGCCAGGAGCTATTCAGGAACTAAATTAACTTTTTCTAACCACAATCATCCCCACTGATGAGATTTAGCTGTTTTCACTATCTGCCCTCCATTGCCTTCAACTAAGTAAACAAGGCCTTTAAATAGATTAGCTTATTTGTCTTCCTAAAAGTGTCTCCTTGAAACTATGATGTACATTCTCAGAATCATGTTTTTCCAAAGTAGACTGATCTTTAAAGAAAACAGGTGGTTACAAATAGGCAATTTTAATTGTTATCCTTCACCTCTTTAGAAGGGGACAACTCTTCTTTCTGTTCTATATTTTGTGGTGGGATATTCGTTTTTGATTTCTTCTTCAAAGCCATCAATGCATCTCGTTTCTGCTTTAGATAGTCCTCACGCTCTCTCAGCTCCTTTGCTCCAAGTTCTGATAGTTTCTATTTGAATTTAACAATCAGATTTTATAGTTTCTGAAAAACATTTTATCAGATACAGTTGCTATAGCACCAACAACAAATTACAAAACAAAAGAGGAAAAAATACAACATTGTGCAGAACTGCTCAAAACTTTCCCAAATTCCATCCCACAAAACATGGGTAGCTACTGCAGAAAATTTATTGTATCATGCTCTTTCAGCTGAAAATGAGACTGAAAGTGAAAGTTTAGAAAAAATGGGGTGCAACTTTCAACTTCCTGCCAAACTCTCCATTTACTTTATTTCTGAGAAGCTGGCATGGTACACAGGAAAATGTGATCCTATGATTACAGCTTGCTGTTGGAATTAAAATGAACACAGAAAGCTCAACATATGAAAGATTAAAATGAAAATGGACATTTTAAGCATCAGGTTGATCTTTCAGTCAAAAGATCACACTCAGGACATAAAAAGTAAAAGACAGCATTGCTCTTAGATGAGATAGAGCAGAGGTTCCCAACCTTTTGGGCACCAGGGACCGGTTCCGTGGAGAGGTTTTTCCACGGACCGGAGGGGCGTGGTTTTGTGTGCTGCCTGCATCCCGCAGATGGGGCTTTGCTTGTTTGTGTGGCCCGGTTGCTGGCATACTGCAGCCCGCTATTGGTCCACACACCGGGGGTTGGGGAACCCTGGGGTAGAGTAAGAACTTGTTACAATGCAATCAATGATCAAATTAATTGATATTTATGACTTCATGGGCAATCCTTTAAGTTCCAACCACTGATGCAGAAGAAGTTTACACGATCAAGTTCAATCTGAAATTGTCAAATTATGCAAGCAAGATGCAAATAAAATGTGCTGCTTGTGACTGGAGACTGGAATGTTAGTTGGCTTGAGAAACTGAAATGAAGCAGGAGACCGACTTAACTAATTTCTGTTGCTCCGTTGGTTTCTTTGTAGCTAACACTGTCTTCAAACAACCAAAATGATCCTCTACACATGAGCATTAGCAGATGGAAGTACATAAAAATCAAATCAAATTATTGCAAAAAGGAGTTAACTACAGCATCAAAGATATGGCCAGATGCTGACTGTGGAACAGATCACAAACTGTTCATGTGTGAGTTCCAAGTTAAAATGAAGAAGAAAGCCAGTCAGCTTCCACAATAAGATATTGAAGATATCCCCATCATTTTCCAGGATAACATCAGGAATCACTTTGAAGTCTTAAAGGTCATTGATAGAGAATCAAAGGAATTATGGAATGAATTTAAAGAATGTATTAAGTAGAATGTGAAGAGACTGCCAAAAATGAAGAATGAGAAGAAAGCAATTGGATGTCAGAACGAATCATGGAAATTGCCAAGAAGAGAAGTCAAAACCAAGAAAGTAAAAAAAAAATCTCAGAAAGGTACTTAACAAAGTTTCAGAGAGATGTTACATAAGTAGTATTACAACAACATCTGTAAAGACACAGAAGATGGAAACGGACATGGAAAACAAGGAAGAATCTCTGAACTTAGAAGAGAATTCCAACTTTGAATTGGTTTGTCAAACGATGCCAAGGGACACATAGCAATTGATTTAAAAGACATCAAAGGAACATGGAAGTAGTGTACCAAAAACTGTATTGTAGAGATGTCAACATCCAAGATACTCGGAAGATATTTCCTCCTTACAAGAACCTCTAACGTACATCAGACCTTCAGGCAAAACACTAAGCTATCCCTTGAACCCTCTATAGAGTTCTTAAGTTGAAGAAGAATAGAAGAAGAACTTTATTGTCACTTTGAATGTACACTAATCGCCATACATTAAAATGAAATTTCATTGCATACTTCTCTAAAAGGGTCACCACCTCCGATATACACTACATAAATATGACAAAAATAAATAAATACAGAATTATGTATATACCCACATATATTATATGACACAGAAAAACAACAGTTTAGTTCAGATTATGTATATATGTGCATGGCGAGAAAAACTAATCTTGTGAGTTTACCAGACGGATGGCATAGGGAACAAAGCTATTACAGAATCGATTAGTCCTGCTAGAAATACTTCAAAACCTCCTCCCAGAGGGGAGCAACAGAAACAAACCGTAAAGTGGGTGTGTGGGGTCTGTAGCAATCCTTTCAACTCTAAGCACATAGTGCTTATAAGCAGCATCCTGAATACCAGGAAGCGAGCTTCCTATGATCTTCTCGACTGTCCTTACCAATCTCTGTATGGACTTTCTATCTGAGGCACTGCTGCCATCAAACCAGACAGTGATGCAGTTTGACTGGGGCAAGCTAATCTATTGAGTTTTGTCTCCCTGAAGATTGGGGTGGCACCAAAGCAATCAGAGAATGATCTAACCGTAAGTCCACAAATAGTCTATTCTTCTCTACTGCTCCCACCATTGAAACTCACTACCTTTTGCTATCTGACCGGATCCTGTGATGAATACGGTACATTTAAATACCTGACAAAACTGCTCTTATCACTTTGACAATAAATGAGCTTGTGTATCAGTTTTTCTATAATGTTTCTTCCCTTGTGGCTTGCTTTAATCTGTAAGCTACAAGGAAGACTTTGTATTATTACGTATGCACAACATATATCACAGATGTCCCCAACCCCCGGTCCATGGACCAGTACCGGGCCGCAACATGCCAGCAACCGGTCCACACAAACAAGCAAAGTCCCATCCACAGGATGCAGGCAGCACACAAAACCACGCCCCCTCTGGTCCGCGGAAAAACCTCTCTCCACGGAACCAGTCCCTGGTGCTCAAAAGATTGGGGACCTCTGATATATAAGGTCCTGGAATATTATTGTTATATAGTTATTGCAAAGTAATATTTATATATATATATGTGTGTGTGTATAGATATATATATTACAAAATATTAGTTCAATATTTTAAATAAAGTGAGCATGCAGCTTACACGTCCTTCTAGCACTCCTTGCTTTGTTACATATTCAGAGCCATCCCCAACTGCTTTCCTGCAACTATCTTCCTTCAGTTTGACAGAGGAATGGTCTTGAATAGATACATCTTTTTGTTTTCCTTCTGGACCTAAATTTATATTGAAATAAATGCATATAATGATATGTTTTCCATATATGAACATATTAATAATCTGTAATTTGAATAGTTAAAACCAAAGGTTTTAAATTATATGTTTCACTTCTTAGAATAATTGCCAACTTGATGTAATAGGCAAAGCAGTTCACTGTTAAATTTGATGGAGAGTGTCCTCAACCACTAGACAGGAAAAGCCACTATTTTCTTTCTCCATTTTACAAGCTATGAAAAACTAAATAAATCCATAGCAGAACTGGTATTCAATATCAATTCATACAGATCTCAAATTAAAAAAAACAGCTTTTGGGTGTTTGGATACCAGCATTTAGAGCTGCAACTTTCAATAACAGAACAACTACAAACCTGAAATAAATACATTTTATATAATAATAATAATAATAATAATAATAATAATAATAATAAAGTTGGAAGGGACCTTGGAGGTCATCTAGTCCAACCCCCTACTCAGGCAGGAAACCCTATACCATTTCGAACAAATGGCTATCCAGTCTCTTCTTAAAAACTTCCAGTGTTGGAGCATTCACCGCTTGTTCCACTGGTTAATTGTTCTAACTGTTAGGAAGTTTCTCCTTAGTTCTAGGTTGCTTCTCTCCTTGATTAGTTTCCATCCGTTGCTCCTTGTCCTGCCTTCAGGCGCTTTGGAAAATAGCTTGACTCCCTCTTCTTTGTGGCAGCCCCTGAGATATTGGAACACTGCTATCATGTCCCCCCTCGTCCTTCTCTTCGTTAAACTAGACATACCCAATTCCATCAACCTTTCCTTATATGTTTTAGCCTCCAGTCCCCTAATCATCTGTTGCTCTTCTCTGTACTCTTTCTAGAGTCTCAACATCTTTTTTTTCATGAACAAATTATTTTCAGTAATGCTGAATTAGTGAATATGTACTATCTTTTTCCTTCCCTCCCCCCAACTGTGCCATCCAATTAGTGTAACCAGTGGCCATGTGTTCAGTAGCAAAAACATACCTTCTTAAATGTATCTTGAAATGAAAATAAAAATTTTGTTTGTAATGGAGTTTTGACCAATTGCTATAATGATATAATGGATAACATCCAACTAATAAAGTTCGGCATCAATTTAGTTAAAGCAATAAATTTCTTTCAACAGAAATATGAATAAACACCCTGAGTATGTTTAATAAGAGAGCCAAGTAGTAGTTAAAGCCACTAGGTGAGACAGTGAGTCTGTCTTACATTAGGCTGGAAGCCAGTTGGTGATTTTGGGTCAGTCACTCTCCTAGAAGGCAGTGAGAAACTATTTTCAATAATGTAGCCAAGAAAACTGCCTGGACTTGTTCTATCAACAGGAGTCAAACTGAACTTGAAAGTACACACATACACCAAGTTTAAAATACATGCAGCAAATACCTGAAAATAATCATACCTGGCATTAATTTTGTAGTGTGTTCTAGAGACCGCTTAGATCCTGCACTTTCATTAAAATGTCCTGAAGATTTATGTGCAACATCAGATGATTTCAGTTTATCATGTGCCTGAATTTTTTTTTAAAAAAATAGTAAGAAATCAATTTAAGTATTAAGTATTTAAGTATTATAAAAGCAGCAAATACAGTAAAAACCAACATGTCATAAAATGCATTATTTAATAAGTGTTATTTAAATCTAGTTACTATCTTCATTATTAAAATAGATAGCAGTATGTAGTAATAACTAAACTATTAAGATTTGAGTTCTAAAGAATCTATTAGGATTTTGCAAGATTTTCTTTCACCCATTGTTTTCTGTACTTTTCTTATAAATTATGTTTCTTATAAAGTTACAATTCACAAATAAAAATACTGTCTGTCATTAAAAAAAGAAAAATCATCAAAATCTTTTTTCCACAGTACTCAATGAACACCTTAGCATAGAACGCTTAACTGTATAGAGAAATAAGTTTATTGTGCAAGATCTAATCTCAATCAACTTATCCAACAACAGATCCAGAACAATATTCTGATGTAAACTTTCATGGGTGGCATCAGTGAACCAGTGATGAATTTTCAGGCAAATGGCCATGATCTAGTTATGTTTTGCCAATAGCTTTGGCTGGCATCTTCTGAGGCAGAGTAAATTGCTTTGTGGTGTACCTCTCTGCAGCTCGTAGGCAACTGCTGAGTACTGAGAAAAAGGCAGCTTCCATGATTGACTGTGTCACGAGGAAGCAACGTGCTGCCACTGCACAGGAATGAGTCAATTAACTGGAAGAGCTTTTGAATTGGTTAACCATGTTGGTTTGCCAGGGACAAAAATGTCAGCTTATACTATTTTCTTAGTATCATCCAAAGTTCAGATAAATGAGGGCAGATATGATATTGTTGCCATTACGGAAACTTGGTGGGATGAAACCCACAAATGGAAAAACTAGAGGGATTTATATTATTTAAAAGAAACAGACCAAATAAAAGAGGAGGTGGAGTTGCTCTCTATATAAGAAATAACTACATCTCTACAGAAATAGAGCACAACAATAATGAAAACTTCTTGAATGTATTTGGGTCAATATAAAAGGGGGGGAATAACATTGCCATAGGTGTATACTATAGGCCACCCAACCAAACAGAGGAAATAGATGAACTTTTTGCTAGTCAGCTAACTAAGGTATATAGGAAGCATATCACAATAGTAATGGGGGACTTTAATTACTCTGACATCAACTGGGAGACAAACTCTGCACCAAGAGGAAGATCAAACAGATTCCTGACAAACCTAGCAGACAACTTTGTCTCCCAAAAACTAGAGAAGGGAACTAGGGGATTAGCCATATTGGACTTCTTCTCACTAACAGAGATGAAATGATAGAAGGTGTTGAAGCCACAGGAACCTTGGGGGGGGGGAGTGATCATGCAATATTGGAATTCAACATTATGCAAGTGCAAGCAATAGAACACAGTCAAACTAGAGTCTTGGACTTTAAGAGAACTAATTTCAATAAACTTAGAGACAGCTTGGGAAGGATTCCATGGATGACAAGTCTCAAGGGGAAAACAACTCAAGAAGCTTGGGAAATTTTGAAAAGTGAGATTATAAAAGCCCAGTCTAGCACAATACCAACGAAGAAAAAAATAAGAACTCTCAAAAGAACCCAGCATGGTTGCATAAAGAACTCTCTGATAAATTGAAAAAAAGGACAAGTATAAAAAGTGGAAAGAGGGGCACATAACTAAGGTAGAATATCAACAAATAGTTCGAGCCTGCAAAAATGAAGTGAGGAAAGTTAAGGCTCAAAATGAACTAAGGCTTACGACAAAAGTCAAAAATAACAAAAAAAGCTTCTTTCAACTTGTAAAAAACAAGAAAAAAGTTAAGGAAATGATTGGTCCATTAGTGGGAAAAAGTGGCAAGAAGGTGACAAGCAATAGGGAGAAAGCAGAACTATTTAACTCGTTTTTTGCATCCGTCTTTACACAAAGAGAACAAACAGTCCAACCTATCAAAAACAGTACCATAAAAAACAGATTAGAAACACAAGTTAAGATAGGCAAGAAAATTGTAAGTGAGCACCTGTCTACCCTAGACGAGTTCAAATCACCAGGACCAGATGGATTACACCCCAAGGCAGAGGCGTAGCGTGGGGGGTGCAGGGGGGGCCGGCCGCACCGGGCGCAACATCTGGGGGGGCACGCTCGCACTCGCAGCTCTCTGCCCCTGCCTGGCTCACTCACTCTCTCTGCAGTGCTGGCTGTGCGAATCCGATCCGAGCCGCCGGGTCGCCACCCACTGTGGAGGGGGGGGCACAAATTACTTGCCTTGCCCCGGGTGCTGACAACCTACGCTACGCCACTGCCCCAAGGTTTTCAAGGAACTGGCAGATGTGATCTCAGAACCATGGAAGTATATCTATCAAAGATCCTGAAGCACTGGGGAACTACCAGAGGACTGGAAAAGAGCTGATGTAGTTCCCATCTTCAAAAAAAGGGAAAAATTGGATCCAGGAAACTACAGATCTATCAACCTGACCTCAATATATGGGAAGATTCTGGAAAAGATAATCAAACAACAAATCAGTGAACACCTAGAGGCAAACAAAGTCATTACCAAAAACCAACCTGGGCTTGTCAAAAACAGATCATGCCAGACAAATCTTATTGCACTCTTTGATCAAATGACAAAATTAGTGGACCAGAGGAATACTGTGGATATAATTTACTTGGACTTCAGTAAGGCATTTGATAAAGTAGACCACAACCTACTACTTGATAAGATAGAAAATTGTGGGTTAGACAGCACCACCAGATGGATTTATAGCTGGCTGACCGGCCGTACTCAGCGTGTGGTCCTCAATGGAACTGCATCTACATAGAAGGAAGTGTGCCCTAGGGCTCTGTTCTGGGCCAGTACTCTTCAACATCTTCATCAATGATTTGGATGAGGGGATAGATGGGGAACTCATCAAATTTGCAGATGACACCAAGCTGGCAGGAATAGCCAACGCTCCAGAAAATAGGCTTAAGATACAGAAGGATCTTGACAAACTTTAACATCGGGTGCTATCTAACAAAATGAAATTCAATGGTGAAAAAAGTAAGATTCTACATTTAGGCAAGAAAAACCAAATGGACAGGTATAACATAGGTGGTACCTTCTCAATAGAAGTAACTGTGAGAGGGATCTTGGAGTCCTAGTGGACAATCACTTAAATATGAGCCAGCAGTGTGCTGCAACTGCCAAAAAAGCCAACACAGTGCTAGGCTGCATTAACAGAGGGACAGAATCAAGATCACGTGAAGTGTTAATACCACTTTACAATGCCTTGGTAAGGCCACACTTGGAATACTGCATCCAGTTTTGGTCACCACGATGTAAAAAAGATGTTGAGACTCTAGAAAGAATTCAGAGAAGAGCAACAAAGATGATTAGGGGACTGGAGGCTAAAACATATAAGGAACAGTTGCTGGAATTGGGTATGTCTAGTTTAATGAAAAGAAGGACTGGGGATGACATGATAGCAGTGTTCCAATATCTCAGGGGCTGCCACAAGCAAGATGGAGTCAAGCTATTCTACAAAGCACTTGAAGGCAAGACAAGAAGCAATGGATGGAAACTAACCAAGAGAGAAGCAACCTAGAACTAAGGAGAAATTTCCTGACAGTTAGAACAATTAATCAGTGGACCAACCTGCCTCCAGAAGCAGTGAATGCTCCAACACTAGAAGTTTTTAAGAAGAGAGTGGACAGCCATTTGTCTAAAATGGTATAGGGCAGGGGTAGGGAACCTTGACTCTTTTATGACTGGTGGACCAGCCATACTGACTCAGGAATTCTGGGAGTTGAAGTTCACAAGTCATAAAAGAGCCAAGGTTCCCTACCCCTGGTATAGGGTTTCCTGCCTGAGCAGGGAGTTGGACTAGATGACCTCCAAAGTCCCTTCCAACTTATTATCATCATTATTATTATTAGTCAAGATACGCTAGTCATAATCATGCCAAAACCACAAATGCATAAAAGCAAGAAATCAAGAGACGCAACAAATATAATTTCAATTAGTAGGAATATGCTTATCATTTTATTCAATCAAAGATAAAAAATAAGTATGTTTTATTTATGTATTTATGTATTTATTTATTTATTTAAATTTATATGCTGCCCATCTCACTATCAAGCAACTCTAGGCAGCTTTTACTGAAGACTGAAGAGAATACTGAAGAGAATATTTTTGCAACCACTTGGGGTTTTGTTGAATTGATCTCCCAATATACCTCATTATTTCTTTTCCTTTCTTGCTCTAGATCATATTCTTCCTTAGACTTCCTACAAAGAAACAGGAAATACTTTAATATATTTACTGCTTTATCCTTCTTTAACAGTCATATAATTGTTGCAGTTTATAATTAATGTAATAATGTAAAATAAACAAATACAGTTTTAAAAAAATGACAAGACAAATTAGAACAAATTTAGTGTTATCACTCTATTAAAATATCTCTTTAAAATGTTTATAAGCATAAGACTAACATACAAAATTAAAAGTAACACAATGAAACAGAATGTAATAATCAAAATACAATTCAAAAGAATTGGAAACAAAAAATTAAGAGAGCAAAGACCTCATGGAAAAAGTGAATTCTGAGGCTGGACTTGTGAAGAGAAGGTGCCACAATGACTATTAGATATAAATAACCCAGGTTTCTCTCACTTTTTTCTCATTTGTGGACTGAACAAAATGGGAAAACTACCCAGAAAAGGAAGAAAGCCACTTTAGATTCACTACTTGCTATCAATGTCCTTCTGGATCAAAGCCTGCAAATGCCTTAAGTAGTCTTTGTTTAGCAACTGCCTTGTTAAGTGACCGTTCATAAACACAACGGTAATAAACAGTAATAAAAAACTATATCCTGCCAATGGATGCATTTACTCTTAAATGTCTGCACTTGATAACAACACACATGGAGTGAAAATAACACTGGCATCGCTGAACAAGAGAACTTTACCTAAATGAGGTTGCCATCAGCGATCTTCGCAGCATCTCTCTCTGTCATGTAGTTACTGCTTAGTGACCCTTTTGCCAGAAACAATTGCTAAATGAGGACTACTTGCAATGATACTTTTTAAAACAGATTTAAGAAGAAATGTAACATTTCCCATTGCCCTTCAGTAAAAATATAATCAATATTTACTTATGCATTATGCTAAAAATGCATCTCAATTTTCCAAATATTTAACCATATCTCTGTAATTTAACACGAAATGGAATGATTTCTCCTCAGTCACTACGCTAAAAAACGTGGCAATCAAATTTTATTTTAAGAGGCCATATCCAAGTATGTGATATAAAACAAGGAAAAATATTTTTAACCTAAGAACTTCTCTTAGTATTTTCATTTCCTCTTCTTCAGTTTCAGTATATGCATCAGACCCATCGGTCAAACAGTCAGGTAGCACACCTATTTTATAAAAAAGAAAAAGAATAAAGCAGTCAAAAGGCAATTAAAGAAAAACTATTCAATTAATTATCAAAATCCCCAAAAAATTATAGACTAGAAAATAAATTATATTCAAAATATTGCTCTGTTTAATTTATTCAGGTTGTAATTAGAAGCCAGCAAACTGAATTATCGTCGAACCTTGCTTTCTAAATAAAATGTTTATTTCTCTTTGCACATGGCAACCTCAATGAGATATATTGAGGGGACAATTAAGTTGTACACATCTGACTTTAGTATGAAATAAAATACTGCACAAGGAAATATAAATATGCTTTGATTTTAGGATGATTTCTACCAGATCTATCTGCCATTGCAACAGCCTTTATGGGAACATGAAAATATATTTGGCTGTTAAATGCTGCTTGCTTAGAAACTGTTTTAACCCACATATTTTGTATGTTAATAGAATGATTGAGTTTTTTATATTCATTTTAATAAAATCATTTTTTCCAATTGATTCTAGATCAATTTCTTCACACCTGGGAAAGCAAGTAAATATAATAAATAACCACTCTCAAGATAGTTTATACTTCAGACTAGCTATGCAAGCAATTGTAATGGGTTATGAGAACAAAAGCCAACTAGTAAGATACTAGCTTAATCTTCTGACACAGGAAGTCTTTCAGGCTGTCTCCTTTGCCTTGATTGCGCTATATATTTAGCCATTCAATGCCTCTCTTCACCTTCCTTTGATCATTACTTTATTTCATATGGCATACATTTGTCAGGGAGATCTACACTTGACAGAGTAGTCCTGACAACCTTTGTTAGTTCATTCAGCCTGCCTGCTTATTCATGGTGGGACACCGGGGGGGAGGGGCAAAAAGCTTGGCCATGGTATACAGCAATCTGGTTAGTGGCATTTGGGTGGATGACATCTTCTGGGGCCTCTTCTGCCAATCTCATCTTCTGCCTGGGCAGGTCCAACGCAAGTTCCCGTTCTCCTTGCACAGCTAGTCTTTCCCACTGGAGTGGTACCCATTTATCTATTCACAATAATGCTTTCAAATTGCTGAGTGGGCAAGGCAGGAGCTAGAGACGAGCTCACCAAGTCCCACGATGCTACCAGGGCTTGAACCACCACAGTGTCCAACCATTTCTGGTCGACAGATCATTAAGCCACTGCACCACCAGGCCTCCTTTATCATTATTGATTTTTTTCACCTGACTTGGCTAAATATCTCCAGATTTAGGAAATCCACTTAAACCTGTTCCAGCTAATCACAGCAAATGAAAATATTATTCTTTTTATTATTTATTACCATTTCTTTCTTGAATTATTCTAATGGCTTGCAATTGCATTTCAATATTTTTCTGGACCATCATTTCTTTAAACAATCTGAAGTCTTCTGCTGCCAGTACTGGCTGCAAAATGGCCTGAAAGGAATTAAAAGTGTTTTATCTCAGAGTGCCAAGAAATTCAAAGTTTAAATAATTCAAAATTTCCTTATAACAATAATAAAAATGCTAGGAGAAAGACATTTAGTAAGGTCTTACATATGGTAGATATAAAGCCAAAACCAATGTAACTTTAAGACTGCTCTGGAGATTTGTGGATAAAAAATACATATTTTTTTTACCAAAAGACCCATTAGGTCTTACATTACAGCAGGTGGTGAGCGTGCAGGTGTGGGGCATGGCCTGTGCATGCGGCGGCAGCCCAAGGTCAAGGCGCCAGCAGAACGCCGGTGGGTTGGGGAAGGTGCTGAAGCAAGGCGGCATCCTGCCTGGAGTTTCCATGCCAGTTGCCCCTTCCCCACCAGAGCTGGAATGCCGCTGCATTTACCATAAGTGCCAGTGCCGGTACTGGTAAATGCCGGCCTTCCCTCTGGCAGGTCTGGGCAGCTGCTAGAGAGCGATAGCCAGTTTCAGTGCCTGGAGCCCTTACAGGGTTTGCCCTTTCACTCCCCTTCCAAGCCAGACTGCTGGCACTTTCGGACACCTGGCCCTCTTCGCAGCTCTGCCTACACAGCCACAGGTGGGACAAAAAAAAAGGTCAATCAATCAATTCCATCTTCGCGAGATCTTTTTTCACAAGAAGTTGGAATTGATTGATTGAACTTTTCTTCTAACGCTGCCCTCCCACTGCACACAGAGGAAGAGGAATACGACAGAGGAACGCGTCAGAGCTGGAAAGGTTAGCATTTCTCTGCCACCGTGGAGCTGGAGAGCTTGCCCCACCCACCACCGTACAGATGCCCTCTCTTCCCAAAGCATTTCTTTGCTAACCTTCTTTCCAGCTCTGACGTGTTCCTCCGTCATGTTATTCCGCCGCCGTGTGCAGTGGGAGGGCAACGCTGCCAATGCAGCGGCAGGGAAGGCGGAAGGCAATCCCGTCCACCAGACCAGCCTGGTGGGGGTGGGGTGGGAAACTGAGTGGCGCTGAAAACAGCACTCGGAGCCTCCAGGAGCTGTGGGGATCCACGCATGCCCTTTGCAGTCATCCTCCTGCCCGACATTTCAACAGGTTTATGCGTGCGTGCATTGGTGGCTGCTTAGGCACGTCACAGCGGTGGCACCGGCAGTAGGCGGAGGCAGAAGGGGGGAGAGGCACATGATCTTGCCTGTCAAAACCAGACAATGGGACGGAGTGGCGGGGTCTTAAGTAGGGCTTATTTTGGGGGTAGGGCTTATATTAGGCCCATCCCCAAAAATCAAGCTAGGGCTTATTTTCGGGGAAACACGGTATTGGAAGAATAAATGTCCCAAACTTGAGCATTCAGTAGCATTGAATGTTCTGAACACTGAATTGCTTGGTGGTTGTTCTAGAAACTACTGAGCAATCTATGAGCAACTCATACCTGGTTGATTAGTTGATTGCAAGATACATTCATTGAAACTGAGGAAAATTTCAGTCCCTAATTCTTTCATAAGGACAACAAGGGTCCCAACTCTGCTAGCAATCCATGTGTATTTCTTTCTGTGGAGCAATCCAATTCTTTTGTGTCTGGCCAGAATGTTAACAATTTTGAGTCACATAATAATGCATAAATTTCATTATTTACAATGTGTAATTTTAAACCACTTTTTCCTAAATATGTGGTTTATAACATTATTCTATTAGTTTAATCCCATTATTCTAAATTGTTGTCCAGGGGCCCCCCACTCGCACTAGTGCCAGCGCCGCTACACAAATGGGGCACGTGGCAAAAACGGGCGGTGCTAGCACCCACATGGCAAAAACAGGGCAGTGCTTGCAGCCCTGTTTGTTTGTGTGCGTGTGCAAATGTAAAATGCTTCCCACTCCCTTTCCCTCCGGTCCGCCAACCGAGAAAGGTTGGAGACCTCTGGTGTAGCCTTTTAACTGAAGGTTGAGCAACATATAATCCCTATGCACACTCTGTAGTTCCCAAAGTGCCCTGCTAGATCACAGCCCAATTTCCTGCTATAAAAATGAAACAGTAGCAAAATAGGTATATTAAATCCCAAACTACTGGGGGAAAGGAACAAAAAAAAATTCAGCTAGATCAGTTCCAATGACTTGCAGGTCTCATCAGTAAAAAATGTCTTTTAACAAGTGCAATATTAGTCATAAAAAGGTTGCTCACTACTATTTTTAATTTTGTTAAAAAGTTTACCTGGGAGGTTCGGGTTTTAGCAAGCGGAGACATACAAGCTTCCTGAAACTTGTCCTCATTAATTCCAACTTCTTTAAGGTAACTGTCTAATAATTTTTCAACCTTAAAAAAACAAAAATATATTTTTATTCATCTTTTATTGAAGAAATGGGACATATATTACTTTAAATGAAGAAATACAGTAGTTGTGTCTTTTCAAAATAGAATGAAATCAGATTCATAAAAGTATAAATCTAGAAGTTAAGATCTAAAATCACATAAATGGCTTATATTTATTAGTGCATGAATGACTTCCCACAACAGGACTTCCTCTGTTTCTCCTGCATCTCCCAAATTTGCTCTGAAATATTCCTTAATCCCTCAGTATTTTTTATGTATTGTAAATATTTTATTATATAGGTTTTTTTCTTGCTGCATGCCAGAGAGTCACTGTTTGAGATGACTTATAAATGCAGTTAAAATATTAAAAAAAAATAAAAAATAAGACAGTAGTTATAAGGAAAAGAGAGATGTTGCTCCAATGTGGAATATAGCAGGGCTCAGATGTTTCCTCCATGTTATTTAATATCCAAATAAAACAACTAGGAGCGGTGTGAAGCAGACTGAGATATCAGCAGTACATTGATAATGGTCAATTGTACATCATGACCTAGGCAGGGCTGAAATGCTGTGGAAGTCCTGAATCAATGTTTGGAACTAATTTGGACTGGATGAAGAGAAATATCCTCAGATTAAACCCTAGAGGAACTGAAGAGTGTTTGTCCGTTAACATTTTGATTAGCTAGACATATCAGTCTTCCTGGTTGTTTCTATATAGGAAGTGTCTGACTTTGGGATTTGCTGATTAGACAGGTTTGCTGCTATAGAAATGACTAATATATACTAAGTATGCAAAAGTAAATAGTTGAGACTTTATTTTTATTATCTTTATTCTATTGCACTGAAAAGAGTTGGGAATTAATGTTTTTTTCCTTTTTTTCCCTTTACTCCACACTTCCCTCTTCCCCCTTTTTCTCTCCCCGCTTTTTCATTATCTTTATTTTCACTTGTATTTTACATTTTCACAAACTCAATTAAAAATATGTAAAAAAATATGTGACCTGTTCCCTCAAAAGACCTATTCCATGATATAGAAACATTTCTGAATATTCCAATAGAACTAAGAAATTCTCATCTACAAATTGTTCATGATCGATTATATTAATATTATCAAGAATATTAAAGTTGTTTCTGTAACAGATTATGTATATGGAATATTTTATTTCATTTTTATTCTCTTTCAATACCCCATCCACATTCTTAGTTCATATTTTATTTCTGCTTTCAAGGTGATTAATCCTTTTTTCTAAAAACTAGTAATTATGATTTTGAACTCCATGGTGACCTCAATATTCAGTGATGTTTACTAAAAACAGCAGGATAAATCCTAACAATTTACAGTTTTAAATACAGCAAGGGAGAAGGAAAAGAATGACAGGGAAGAATCTGCAATTATTTTGGTTATATTTGCTTGGGCTTAGTTAAAGAATAGGAAACCTAGAAATGTTATACCAAAAGTTTCATGAGAAAGATATTATTGTCTTCTCTCTATGCCTGGGAAAGAGAGAGCAGTTTGGAAAACACTGCAAACAGAGAACATTTGTAAATTCTTCTCCTTATGTGGAAAACAAATACTAGAATGAAGAAAAATATGCCTAGAAAACTTAAAAGATATACAGTATAGGCCATAAAATAGAAAGTACTTAGTTTTCAATGTTCATATAAAACAGCCCCTTTTTAAGAGACCTTCTACGAGAAGCGTCTGTGAGAATCATTTAGGAGGGTATTCAGTATTCAGTTGTCAACATCTGATTATATCAGATGGATGGCATATAAATTCAACAATAAATAAATATATTCTTGTAGGATTCTACAACAATCTTAGACTCAAAATGGAATAGATGGATTTAGATCATATGTGAGTTTGCACATCTCATATTTAACACCTCTTTAATCAAATGCATATTTTCTTGGAATACACAAATACTAATCAATTATATAAATACGTAAGAATCTCTGATTCCCCATTTTACCAACAATGAAACTGCATTTTATAATATATTCAAAGAGATACACAGCACATTTTTGCTTTAACATATTATGTTTTTAAAGGCTAAGGAATTTACTTACCAAAGCTTTATATTCCTGATGAATTTCAGTGTAAGATAACTTACTTTCTTCCTCATCATCAAAAACTGAAACAAAGTAATATTTCATGGTTCTTTACAATATGCAAACTAAAAAAATAGTTTCATATAGTAATAGCTTAAAATTGAATTTTGCACACAACAAAATTTATCTGAACTAAAATATAAAATATATAGCTCCAGTACAAAATGTGATCATGCAGGCAATTTTAGGCACCCAAAAAAGAGTGCATGTAGCACATCCACAAGCTGCAATGGGTGCCAGTTTGTTTTCATGCACAGATGAAGCTTCATTTGCTTGCCCGCCGCTTGTGCGGCCGATTCCTAACAGGCCACAAACCAGTACCAGTCTGTGGCCTGGGGGTTGGGGACTCCTTGGTTAAAGATCTCCATCTGGTGGGGTATAGGAAGAAAACCTTTGTCTGCCATTGCCTCCATCCTATGGAATACTTTCCACCAGAAGTGAGACAGGCCTCTGCTTTCCTGGCCTTCTGAAAAGGAGTTAAAACATGTTTCTGAGGCTTTGCATGAGCAGCTCAAGAAGCATGCAGCTGTGGGACTGGTTAGTCCCTTGAAAGCCCTCTTCACCTTTTAACTAATTTTAATCTCTTGCTCCCTCTTACATTTTAAACTTTTATATATACTATTTTATATTTTAACATTTTATTGTACGCAGCCCAGAGTCCCTATCTGAGAGAGATGGGCAGTTCAGAAAATAAATATTATAAACAAACTTAGAATTCCTCATTACAATTTTTGTTTTTTGATGCCTTTAAGTCTCGTGGCAACTATATGAATTAGTCCCTTCAGTTTTTTTGGCCAGATTGAAGAGGTGGTTTGCCACTGCTTGCTTCCTATAACTGAAAGAGAATGACTGGCCTAAGGGAATACAGTAGCAGCTTCCGTTTTCTAGGAGATTATTTTAGGCCTTTTTGTTTTAGCTTTTTGAAGAGCAGCTACTTATTGTTCCTGGAATGATAAACATAATTAATCACCAAACACCACTGTGCCACCAAGGCTTTTACTTTTACTTTTAATTCTACTAAGGACTCTAAATGCACTAAATAAAAACATCCTATATTTTTTCATCCCACTTTTTAAAATATTAAGCAGATGCCAAAGGACATTCTACATTAAAGAAACATACACACACACACACACACACACACACATATATACTTACTGGCAAAAGTTTTTAACCTATCAGTATACTTTAGTACTTTTACTATTTGCTATTTATTTAAATTTATATACCATCAAATAATTTTAACTCCCAGCAGCTTATAATGAACTAAAATACAACAAAAATACCTATAAAAAAATTAAAACGGCTACAGTTTAATAGAGCTCTCGTGATAAAAATGGAGAAAATACTTAAAATTCCACACACCCCATTGCACCAAAGCCCAAAATAACTGCATCGGTTGGAGCTGTATTGGTTGCTGATTTGCTTCCAGGTCCAATTCAAGGTGCAGATTGTCACCTTTAAAGCCCTCCATGGTTTGGGACTATGTTATTTGAAGAATTGTCTTTTCCTGGTTAAAATCACCAGATCAGGGAGGCAGGGTACACTGTTGGACTCCTTTATTAAAAAGGTCCATCTAGTGGGAGGAAGAATTATGTGGCCCTTCTCCAGGATGGCTCCCTCCCTATGGAGCATCATCCCCATGAAGATAAGATTGGCTCGCACCTTGATACACATTTGTAAGGCTGTGAAGACCCGGTTTTGCCAGTAGACCAAGGACCCCAGGATGATATGGAGCCCACCAAGAGGTTTGATTATTGTTATGGGGGAGGGGGAGGGGAAGGGGGAAGGACTGGATTTTGTATTTGGGGTTTTTCTTCTGTGAGCTGGCCAGTCACTGTTATTGAGTTAGGTGGCCACATATTTTTTCTTTAAATATGTCAATAACTCCTTTTTTTAAAACTTCAGATCTATCTTAAACTTCATAAAGAAGAGTAGCATACTATATCAAATAAAAAATATATGACATTACGGAGAGCATTATTTTCTCTCCACGCAGCAGAGCGCCTTATCTAAATCTAAACATTGGCATGGTACAGAATGCCCAATCTTTCCAAATCACTCATTTGGTAGATTTCCATTAAATTCAACAATAAATCTTAATGGGGGGGGGGTTTAATAATTTTATGCATTGTGCATCATAACGGAAAAATAAACACCCCCTCGGTTAGTGGACTCACCGAAATCAGTGCGATACTAACATACTGACCTTCGGCTGAATCATGACCAACAGCCACTCCCATTCCTTAACTGTGCTCTTAATCTACCGTAATGACGGTGATAACGATTACGATAATAATCCAAAGCCCATTAAATGCAACCATACGTTACAGAGGAATAAAGAAAATCACCACCCGGGGACACCCATTCGGACATGGCGACAAGTATACTGGCCGAATTTCCACGGGTCCATGGCCCTCTCACCTTCACACTTGTGCTCCACAAACTCCAGAATGGGAATAGACCAGGCGGGGCTGCGGAGAAAACCGGCAATGCTATCTACGACCCACTCCACTTCAGCCTCAACCTCCGCCTCCCCCTCGGTCGCCATCACATCTCTCCTCCCCTTTCTCCACGCCCTCAAAAACAGGAGCTCTCGCGCGCGTGCAGCCCTGTCCGGAAAAAAAATGAGACAATATGCGCGTGCGCCGGAGAAAAAGAAGAAGACAGCAAGATTCCGGCGACGGTTGGGCTTCGATTTGCCGTCACTATGGCAATTGCCGTCACTAAAAAAAAAAAAAAAAAAGGGGGGGGGAAATGGGTCTAAATAAACTCACGCGAGAAGGCGCGAGGTCGTACCCACCTCAATAAGCATGCGCTGCGGGGAAGTTATTTTCCAACCCTTTGCTGTTCCATTATGTCTTTTGTAAGAGCCGAACTTCCGCAAGTTATAGTTTAAAGCAGTGTTTCTCAACCTTGACAATTTTAAGGCATGTGGACTTCAACTCCCAGAATTCCACAGCCAGCATTGCTGGCTGTGGAATTCTGGGAGTTGAAGTCCACATGCCTTAAAATTGTCAAGGTTGAGAAACACTGCTTTAAAGCACGTGCGATTCGCAGAGAGACGCGTCAATGTTGCTTTTTCTCAAGATTGCCTAATTGCATTTCTGCAGTCTTTGTTAGAAAGATATGCAGGCGTTAGTTGCGCTGTCTGGACAGATGAGATCCGTTCTGCCTCAAGAGATGAGGCTGGAGAGTGGCCCTTAAGAATTTAGTCTGAAACAATTCAAACATATAGATTGGTGGATTCCCCTTTCCCTTCTCATCTATGATCACCTGCTGATAAGGAAAACAATCATCAACTACTGTCTTTATAATGTGCAGCGGGGTGGAGGCTTTAGCAGGCTTTCTATTTGACTGAATGCTAAGCTCCTGGAATGGAGATACTCTGCTGTTTGTTATTTCTGAACATAACTAAGCGCTGTTCTGGAACACCCCTAAACTTAAGTTTTTCCAAAGTTGCTTGGCTGAAGATAGCGTATGTAGAGCAGTGTTTCTCAACCTTGACAATTTTAAGGCATGTGGACTTCAACTCCCAGAATTCCACAGCCAGCATTGCTGGCTGTGGAATTCTGGGAGTTGAAGTCCACATGCCTTAAAATTGTCAAGGTTGAGAAACACTGAAGAGGGATGTGGACTGAAGCATGAGGAAGTTCTGGCACTTTTTTCCAAATTCATCCATGTTTCTTTGCTGCATGTGTGACTTGTCAGTCAGGCTATTTTTGGACACATTTAGTGCTGTTCTGGAAGAGCAGTGGACTTGAAGTCCTCCAAGATCCCTTTGAATTCTATGATTCCACGAACTGGATCTCTCATTGATTCCATCCGTTACTTCTTGTCCTGCCCTCAGGTACTTTGGAGAATAGGTCAACCCCTCTTCTTTGCGACAGCACCTCAGCAGTCTTTCAGTATTTGAGGGGTTGTTGAGAAGAGGGGGTTGACCTCCAAAGCACCTAAAGGCAGGACAAGAAGTAACAGATGAAAGCTTACTGTAAGGTTTTTTCAGCTCAGAATCCAAATAAATCCCAAAGAGACTCTGAACATGAGGCTACTGAAAATAATACAGCTTTATTTTTGATCAAAAGAAAAAGCCGGGGTGCTCCTAATCTCTTGTCTCTAACCCAGAAATACAGAAGAGAAAAGACACACACTAATAAAAAAATTTCCCTTTTATAGCTAATGTACTTTCTCACACTAACAGCTAAAGATTTCTTTTTCGTCTGAATAAGAGTTTCCTTTATCTGGTTATGTCAATTACAGCTTGTTACAGAGCTACCCTTCCAATACACAATTGCTGGCATGCAGCCCAGAACTTTCTCCTTAGGCAGATACATTTGCAAGTTACAGCAGAAGAATGATACATTGCAAGCTATAGGGAACACATTTAAAGTTACAGCTTAAGCTTTTTCTTTCTTCTTGGTCAGCACACTTTTTGTTAAGTTATCTCTGAGCAAAGTACAGAGTGCAAACAAAAAAGAACAATGGCTGGGTTATACATAAAATATTATATTTTAATCCCTTCGTTACAAAAGATAGATCCAACCTAAAATTAAGAATTTTCCTGACAGATCAATTAATCAGTGGAATAGCTTCTCTCCAGAAATTGTGGGTGCTCCATCATGGAGGTTTATAGGAAGAAATTGGACACCCATTTGTCCAGATTGGTATATGGTTTCTTGCTTGAGCAGGGGATTCAACTAGAAAACCTCCAAGTTCCTTTCCAACACTTATTCTGTTATTTTACCTGTGTGAGATGGCTTTGGAAAGCAACAAGGAATGAACAAACTTTTAAAAGAGGAAGAAAACATTACTCAATCCCAGGAAAGGAAAAATCAGCAAACCACCCCAATCTCCTCCCCAAACTACAAAATCTCATCTTGTTATGCAATGTTGTAGAATACCTTAACAACCATAAATAGCATTCTTAAAATACAGCATTAGCCATTGTGTTTTGTTGATATCTACAAGAGCTGACATGGTGGTTTTATACATAATTACCTAATTTCAAGACAAAATTTTAAAGGTGAAATAGATTATTAACATAAATGTGTTCTGAAAAAGAACTCTATTGTGCACTCCACGTAATTGCCAAAGATTTGTGAAGGTTTTTTTTCTAGAACTATTGTTGGCATAATTTTCCATATGGGGTTTTCATCCTAAGAGTTTTTGCCTTGCTCTGTCTTTTTAGCTCTTTCTTAATTAAGGCATTCAACAGCAGGCATGTAATGTAAGTGATACAACTTTTAAGTCTGTGCTTAAACAGATTACACATGTTTTCTAAATAAAGAAGTTAGATTTCATACATACAAATATATCGCTAGAAGAGAATGTTTGTTGCTCAGGGTTGAACTGTGGGTTCCCTGGTGCTCTCTGAGCTTGGTGGTTTCCTTGCAAATGTTTCATTACCAAACTAGGTAATAATCATCAGCACTAGAAGGGAATGAGCTTTGTTGTTATCTTTATATATTTGTAATGAAATGTCTGCAAAAAAAACCCCAACCAAGCTAAGAGAGCACCAAGGATCCTATAATACAGGGAAGATAGGTTGCAGACCCCATCAGCTGAAGAACGGGTGGGATGTAGGAAGGGAGTCTTTTCTGCTGTAGAAAGTCAGCCTCCCCCGGAGAATGAAATATTTTGGGGAATATGAAATGGCTTGCAGGAGGCTTGCGAGGTAGCACCGGCAGCAGGCAGAGGTAGAGGCACGGGGGGAGGCAGGCCATCCGGATGTGCTGCATGGAGGCCTGCTCGTGGGAGGTTCACAGGAGGTTCGTGCATTGGCACCAGCAGCAGACAGAGGCACAGGGGGGAGGCAGGCAATCCGGACGCACTGCGCATCCGCCTGGCTCACAGGCTCCTCGCGGGAGGCAGGCAGCTGTGCAGCATATCTGGATCACCTGACTCTCCCTGTTCCTCTGCCTCTGCCTGCTGCTAGTGGTGCCACATGAGCCTCCCGTGAGCCAGGCGGCCTTGCAGCACTTCCTGATCACTTGCTTCCCCCCTTCCTCTGCCTCCGTACTCAGACTTACCTGCGCTACACCAAGGAGATGGCTGCAGCTGCTGCCGGACACCGTCAGCCCCTATGCATTCGCCGACTCTTGTGCATGCACCAGGGGATGGGGCGCCCGGCCGGGCTGATCACTCTGATACCATGTTTCCCTGAAAATAAGCCCTAATGTATCTTTTGTTGCAAAAAATATATATAAGACTGGGTCTTATTTTGGGGAAAACATGGTATAGGGGAAAGCCTCAAGCAAAAACATGAAGAGCCAGTCTTATGGAGATTTTGTAATCCATTCAGAAAGACTGGGCAATCCTATTCATAAGCAAAACACCTTCAGCCACAGCTCCCACAAAAGGCTAAAGCTGATGGGATTAGAAAAACAAAGATCCCTAAAATCTACTTTCCCCACTCAGCTCCAAGGACAGGGCATGACCTCCCAGCCACAATGGGAGTCACACAACAATAATTAGAATACTAAAAGGGCACTCTAAAGCACAGATCAAAGTACATTTCACAGTGAACAGGCATCTCAAATACAAAGCCCCAAAGAAGGTATAAAAACCCACCTACTCTCAACTCCATTTTGTCAGCCACCCCAGAAACATGCTGATGTCACTTTAGTTTCTGGTTATCAAATAAACAGAGATCTCTTTTCCAAAATGCAGCCTGCCTTCAGTTCATTTCTACAGTGTCCTCACGGCTTGGAACAAAACCAGATTTTACTTCCAACACTTCCATTGCCTGAACCCTATGAAATATTGTTCCCCCAGAGGTGAGAGGGGCTCCCACTTTCCTGGTCTTCCGAAAAAGGGTTAAACCATGGTTTTGCAGTCTTGCATGGAAAGCCCAAAGAAGCATGCAATTGTGCTTTGAGAGCCCTCCTTTTACCTTTATCAACTAATTTTTAACAGGGTTTAATTATTCTTCCCTCTTTAAAAATTGTTATAAGTTTTTACATTTTTAATTCTAAAATCTTAAGTCTAACATTTTAATTTTTATGTACTATTTTATATTTTGATGTTTTACTATACACCACCCAGAGTTCTTCTTTAGAAACGTAATAAGTAAGTAAGTAAGTAAGTAAGTAAGTAAGTAAGTAAGTAAATAAATAAATAAATAAATAAATAAATAATCTTATCTTGTAGAATGGAGTAAAGGAAGCCAACTACAGTTGGGCAGCCATCTCTTTAATTTCTTCAGAGAAAGAGATTAACATTGGCAAACATAAGGAAATGGGCAAATAATTGAGAAAAGTTCACTTCAACATTCCCTATTGTTTTCTATTTGTTGCATGGAAAAAAAGGTAGATGTGTTTTATGTTCCCTGATGCTATTTTGAAATGTGCAGTAAGGAGTTGCACAAATATAAATATACAAACACAACATTCTTCCCTGAATATAGTTGATATAAGTTGATTTCAAAATGAGTAAAATAACAGATATGAAAGTAATCCAGGAAACATAATGCTAATAATGCAAATGCTGGTAGAAAAATAGCTATGACTATTTCCTAGGGACCAAAGATGTCAAGGCATGTCCACAAATTTCCAGAGAGATCTAGTATGCCCACAAGACATTTTCCTCTAAG